TAATACCAGTTAACACTATAAATCATTACCCCACAATAACACCAATAGGAAGGACAATGACACCATAATCACACGATAATAAAACTCACTTCGATAATACAATAACACAACAATAAAATCATAACAATGCCGCAATAACCCCATAATAACACTAACTAATAACACTAACATCCTTCGTTAAAAAAATAACACCGGAATACTGCAGAGATGATACCGCAAAGACAATAACACCATAATAACACAACGATAAAATCATAAAGTCGCAACAAAAAAGTCTCTTCACAGCACAACACAAAAATAAATCATAACAATATCACAATCACCACACAATAACCCCAACATTCCTTATTAACAAAAAATACATGAGCATACTGCCAAGATCTGGATTGTTAAACACAAGCACATAAACAAATTCGAATAAAACTAACCTCTGATAAACCTAGAAGAATGCAATAAAAATTTCAAATAAAAAATAAAATTTATTAAACCTACGATATACCTAAGATCTGGACTGCAAAAACTCGCACAGATCAACAAACTACATAATGGAGAAGCAGATATGATTTGTAAAGATTCGGTACAAGAAACTAAACTCGCACAGATCTGGAAGCGGTTATCGTTCTCGTCGTCGGCAGAGCAGTCCTTTTCGGCAGCTCCAAACCCTAAAGTGCGAAACTAAATCTGGCTATAATCGGGAAAGGGCCTTATGCATTAAATTTTTGTCAAAAAGGAGTATCGGGTCGGGTCGGGCATAAAAAAAAGCTTATTTTTAAGCTGTAAAGCCACGTGGAATCGCATTCCACGTGGCGAATTTTTATTCGGTACCGCATGCAGGGGTTCATGCGGTGCACGTACCGAATAAAAATTCGTCAAAATCATGCTAACTGCCAAAGATCGGTTCTGGGTGTCTGGGCGCCAGCCTAGGATGCTGGGTTTCCAGGCTCTCGGTATAAGGTCGACCTTGTATGCTGAGTTTCCAGGTTGAGGCACCAGGGTTGTGGTGTCGGTTTTCCACCTCCTATTTCATTCACGCATGTGGAATGGGGTTTGGTTTGAGCACCTAGGCGGCAGGGGCAGTCATTGGATTTCCAGGCATTTTGGCTTTTGGTTGAATGTAGGCATGGGGCACCGGATTGGAGCATCGGGCTCGCACGCCGGGGCGCCAATGCAAGACTTGGCATCCATTTGCACCTAAGGCAGGCACCTCTATATTACCTTCTTACATGTATATTGTATATACATAATCAAATATTATGGAAAAACATAAGAATGACACAAATAACATTGAAAACATAATAAATATCACGTCACATTTGCTATACATCAATATCTACCATCTATGCTAAATTTTTTATATATATGCCCACTTTAATTATGCATTAACATGCGTATTACACTTTTTTAAAAGTTAGATTAGTGTTATTTTTTATGTAACATGAAAGATTTAGGTGATATAAATGTAAAAAGTACACTTTAGGTGTTTGATACGTAGATACATAGGAATTGAGTGGTATCCATGTGAATGCCCCCCTTGATTGTTGATCAGCTATTTTATTTTGGATAATTTGCATTGCTTTGTGTCTGGAATTCAGTCCTCTCTTTAACTAAAAAAATGCCATTATGTCCATTACTAATTCGTAAACAACTAAATATCATATTCTATCTTTTATTTGCTTGTTCTATAATTTTGTATTTTCTATATGTAGCATTTTGTTTTCTAATTATCTTCTAGTTTCTTTGCATGGCATGATCACATATAAGTGGCGCAACTTGTTTCATTTATAGTCTTGTTTGACTTCTGGTTCTCTTTTTATTTGTTTGCAGGTTTTATTCTCGGACATGAACGCATATGATGTAAGTTGTTTTTTTTTTTCCGTTTTTTGGCACTGATAAGTTTTGTGCAAATATGAACGTTTTGGTGTGAGATATGTAAATACATAAGAATTGTGTGCTATGTATGTAAATGCCCCAAAAACTAAAGGTTATGCAGGAAATTACCCTGAATACATACACGCTATTAAATTCTTATCTTTTTAAATATCTTACGCTATATCTTTATATTTATTTTTATAGCAGTTTAGTGCTCAATTGGCATCTATATCAAATCGATACGTGGAAAAGCTTATTAATAATAAATTAATACTAGAGCATTTATCACATTGATTAGTTATAAATATAAAATAATAGGGGAATTACATTAAGACCACCCGAAACTTGATATTTACAAATCAACCATCCTCTTTCATCCATTTTTCAAATTCTCACTTCAATATCAAAATTCATGGTAAAACCCCACCCGCCCATAGCTTTCACTTTTATCAAATTCTCGATAGTTTGATCGTGGCACACATAAATACACTAGTTCGGTAGTTCAACAGTTTGGTAGTTCAAAAAAATCACATGGATTGTTAATTTGTAAATATCAATTTTTCAAGTAGTGTTCAAAATATATGTTTTCATGTTAGATATGTAAAAATTGATGTTTAGGTGTTAGAAATGTAAATACTCTGGATGTAAATCTTCCAATAACAATCTATGAGAAGACCCATTATGTTATGTTTACTATATTATCTCCAGTTTGTTCATGGGAGTTGATAATGTGCAGGTGGAATTAGCCTCAGACGCGAGGCACTGTTTCTGTAAGGCCTCTGATTTACTTGCTGTGGTTGAGTAAACATTCTAATTATATTTCTTTTAAGTTGCATCGGCTTTGTTATTTTGGTGAAAACAGGGCTCATTTGCTTAACTTTTGCTTATATATCGAACATGGTTTGAAAACTCTGAATTGCTTTTGGTATGGCGTTCAAATCATAGAAATATGTTTTTAAATCATTAAGAAAATTTCTTTTAAAATTAATATATATGTCAACATTATCTACAATGTACCCTTTGTTATAAGAGGCATTTACATTCCCTTTTTTTTTTTTTTTTAATGGTTACTTATCTAACACCCAGACGTATCAGCTAAAAGATTAATGGTCTGTTTGGGGCAGCTTATAAGTGCGGGCAGCGTTTTCGAAACGCCGCCACATCGTTTGGTTCGCTTGTTTCGTCAGCTTATCCGAAACTGCGTTTTGGTTTTTACACTACACGCAGGCCGCGGGTCGACCCCTGCGGCCGGGGGGCCGGGTTTCAGGATAAGCAGTTTATCTTGAAACGTACAAGCTGCCCCAAACGGACCCTTAAAATTGAAATATACAATTACATGCAGAGGTTCGATAGGTAAATACTTCAGAGTTTTGTGTGGTATATATGTAACTTTACAATATTATAATCTTCATAAAAAAACTAATTTTTTACTTATGGAGTGGATGTTTATAGATTTTATACACAACATTGCTGTACATTATTATATTATATGTGTATAATAACGTATGATTGTATAAAATATTGTTGCATTTGAGGTTTTGATGCGTTGGGACTTTAATGATTTTTTCCCTTTTTGAGGGGCAAACTGTAAATGTGACTACCCAGCCAAATGCCTAGTCCTAAGCGTATGGATTACGCTCCATATTCTTTCGAAAAATATTCAATCCACTAATATGTGTTGTAGTTATAAAATTTCAGTTATAAAAAATATTTTTGGCATTTACAGAGCGCATAATTCTTATTCTTTATTTATCTAATGCCTAAAATTTCATATCTGAAATATGTTTTTTTCATGTATATATTTAAATGTAAATATGAAAATTTCCATATTAGATGTATAAATTCATTAAATTTGTGAGGTATGTAATTGCCAACAAAATAATAATTATAATTTTGCATCCATTGCACAATTTTCCTTTATATTTACATATTATCTAATAAGATGGGTAATGTTTGGTGGTGAAAATCTATATTTTGTAATCTAATTTGATTTAGTGAGATAACTGTTAAAAAGTTGTGGTCTAATTTTTTGAAAGTAAAAAATATTAGTATTATCACTGCAGCTTTTAGAACAGCGATTTTTCTATAATAATTTCACAATTGCTTTTTCAAATACCTGTTTGTGTCTCAAACAAATCCTTGGTTTCCACTGAAAAAACACCATTGCTCAACACCTCCCATCTTAGGCTTAGTTTATAGCGGCGTCCCGGCTCCTTGCATATTTTACGAATGTTGGCCGATGCTCTTCCGTAAAAATGGTACTTTTTTTCACCATTGTAAAAAGCAGATGCTGACCTCTAGTCCGTAACCCGTAACATCACGTTTAGTGGAACACAAAGTTGATGTTGTCAATCATCACTTATTCAGCGTGCTACAAAATTCGTGGTGGTAGAGTAACAAATTATCGTTTTAGCGTTGTACGAAAGTTCAACACACACACACATAGATGAAAGAGAAAACAAGCAGTGATGACTCCAGAAGTTTTTACGTGGAAAACCCGTTAGGGAAAAACTACGGAGTCTGACCTAGTTGCAGAAATTTACTATTGATTGATGATAATAGAAATGTCAGACGAAAAATGATAACTATATTTCTCATATTACAATGTCGACTGACGGCGTCTGATAGGTGGTGATTGACGACGGTAGGTTGACGATAACGACGGTCGGTGGTGGTCGACGACGGTATGCGATGAGCGTCGGCGATCGACGGCGGTCGACGACAGAGGTCGGCTGTGGTCGACGACTGTGGTGCTGAGCTGCAGCTTCTTAAGACCTCTGCCTCTCTCTAGACTTCCTCCTCTTCATGAGAGGGATGAGGCTCTACTTATACTGTTCTGGGTGTAATTAATGCAGGAATATGACCCATTTTGATCGGACCGTTCGGAGAGCTTCCCTCGATCATACGACGTTTAATGGACATTTGAGTGTCTTAATGATGTCAGAATTGAGTGATCTTGGGCTCGTTGGATTCGTCTTGTCGAGCCACTCGATTTGAGTAAGCTTGTCATATTTAACAGTCGTTTGACTTTTCAAATGTATTCATAAATTTTCTGACTGTGATTTAATGATTTGATATGTGCTTGATTTGACTTGTATTTGACAAGTTTTCATATCATTATGTCTGCCTCATCGAACTGGTCAATTTGACTATAAGTTTGCTGAAATCAGAGCTATGGATGACTTTTTATTAGATTTAAATATTTCTTACTTAAAATATCGTCTCGATATTCATGTCATGTCTCGAGATTCGTGTTGGATGATGAAATTTTGTTGGTGGTGTATCAATCACCATTATTGTCGACACCGCTGTCTCATTTATTGTTACTCTTTGGTCTATCTTGTGTATGCTAAATATATTTATATATTAAAATATAAATAAAATAAATTAAGATTTATTTACATATTCCTCAATTCTCATGTATCCGCTTATTTATATATGAAAAGTCTTAATTCATTTTTTTTAAGTTAAAATGATGATATTTTTTTATGTAATATTAAAATTTGAAATTATATAAATATAAAAAAAACGTAGTTTAGTTGTTAGATATGTTAATAAGTCGGAATTTGGAATTGGATGGGATGCATTTAAATGTCCTTAAAATAAAATGTAACAGTTTGATATTTCAAACAATAGATATATTACAGTTTTACCCACACCACCCGTTTTCAATGGGAAGACATTAATGGAATGGATGCAGCCGCCTAAGTGGCTGCGACGTATTAATTATTCAAAGCAGTATGATTATTGTCGCCATTCAGGCGGTTGTAAGAGGCATTCATTATCTCTAAATCTTTATTGATTTTCTTAATATCATATAATATGCTAAGAATTTTCATGCTTTTGTGAGTTCATTTTGAAAGGTTTGATTTTTATTCATTTGTATATACTTTTACTTCATATTTCAATGAAATTTACTTGGTTTTCTTTTCAAATATATTTGAATCAAGTACTTATTGCTTATTTGATTTGGTAGTGCGATTAATCGTGTTCGTTTAATGAACAAACAAGTTAAAAATCAATCGCTTGGTGAAACAGGAATATTGTCATTAAGAGATTGCAATAATGTAGG